GGGCCGCCGCCGGTCGGGCCTGCGGGTGCTGCGCCGCCGCCTGGCTCTTCAACCCGCTGCCCATGGCCGTCTCCAGCCGGGGCAACGCGGAGGCCTTGGTCGCACTGCTGGTGCTCACCACCCTGTACTTGGTGGAGGGGGGGCACATAGGGAAGGCCGCAGTGTGCTACGGACTGGCAGTGCATATGAAAATATACCCACTAACCTATGCGCTTCCCATTGCGCTGCACCTGCAGAGCAAGCGTGGTGGCAGGGAAGGTGCAGTGGGTGCAGGCTGTGACAGAAAAACAAAGTTTACATTTGTAGGGTACCTCTGGCAGCTCTTTGTAAAGATTCAGAACCGCAATACGCTGCTTTTCGGAGCGGTTAGTGGATCCGTGCTGGCATCCTTGACTGTTGGGTGGTTTTATCACCTATATGGCTGGGAGTTTTTGGAGCATGCCTACCTCTACCACCTGAGCCGGAGAGATATCCGTCATAATTTCTCTCCTTATTTCTACATGTTGTATTTAACTGCAGAGAGCAAATGGAGTTTTGCCCTTGGGCTCACAGCTTTCCTGCCCCAGCTGCTTTTGCTCCTGATTGTGTCCGTGGCGTTTTACAGGGACCTTGTCTTCTGTTGTTTCCTGCACACAGCTATTTTTGTGAGTTTTAACAAAGTGTGCACATCCCAGTACTTTGTCTGGTATCTCTGCCTTTTGCCCCTCGTAATGCCTAGCATTAAGATGTCCTGGCGGCGTGCTCTGCTGCTTCTGGTCCTGTGGTTCGTTGGACAAGGCTTGTGGCTCACTTTTGCATACTTTCTAGAATTCAAAGGATATAACACTTTTATACTTACATGGTTGGCAGGGTTGCTTTTTCTTTTTATTAATAGCCTCATAATTGTTCAGATTATTTCACATTATCACCAAGAAGCACAAGTTGCAAAAAAACTCAAACAACAGTAATAAACAAGCCAAAATCCAGAAACAGCCCTACTGTCCTTGATAAGGCTTTTCATACCACCAGCATTTAGTTTAATATAAATGTGTGTATGTTGTACTAAAGCATGTTGTATGTAAACTATACTTTGTTAGGGCTGTGAGGGCACTGACTGGCCTTAATTGCTGTGAGCAGTCCCAGTCCTGCCCTGAGCAGTGTCTGCAGGTACCTGCCTCCCATGTGGACCTGGAAGCTGCTCAGTAACCTCTCTGGCACTATCTCCTGCTGCTTCTGATTGGAAGGATCCCGGACCAGTTCATCACCATGTCTGGGGCTGTGAGTGAACTCTGTTACCAGCGCCTGTCTCTGCTGCTGTCTCCAGACACTGTGTGGCTGAGCCTTGGAAGATTTTAAAGGGATGCTGGAGTTTGTCTTTCACATTCCAGTAAGCTGGTGGGGTGTTTTGCAAGGGTTAAGCAAATGAATAAACATCAGGCAATCACTTAATATGTACACTGAGATTTATTTTTTCTTTTCACACTAACAGCTACACAGTGTTTGTGGCCTCTACCTGCTCTTTCTTCATTGAAGTAGGTTATTTCATACAAATCAAGTCATTAACTCCTTGAAACTTTTAATTTGTTTTAGATTCAGATACTTATTTTTGCCTTTTCAGTGCTGTTTGAATTTTTGAACAGATTTATTCCCCTTGCCACAGAGGAAAATTTTTGCAAATACCTGTCTTGCATCACAGAGATGTAGAAAGCAAAAATATTTGTGTTCCTTGCTGCCACAATCTAAAAAAAAGGCCACTGCTTTAAACTGCAGTTAATTAACAGTTACTATGGATATTAACAGTTGCAAATACAAAGAGTCAAAGTACAGCTAGAATGGCATGTGTCTACCAAAAAGTAATTGGAAATGTAGTTTCTCAGTAGTTTAATACTGCTACTATTGAAAATAAATTAAAAAGAAAGTGAAAGGAGTTGAAGAAGTGCTGCTGATCTGTTACCCGTTGCACATTTTCCTGTTGCAAATAGCATGTTTTCTTTCCCAAAAGCAATGTTTCGTATCTCTAACAGACCTAATTACGCAGTGTCCAGACCTTTCCACTCCCCTATTTTTTCCCTTCTGTTGGCAAAGAAAGCAAATGAAAGCCAAAAGGTATTTCCAGCTTCAAAAATCTTTCAGGAAAAAAAAACAAAAATGGGCATTTTGAGTTACTGTGTTCATGACAGAATTGTAATGTTTTTTAGGTGACAAATACATTCTTGGTTCAGTAACAGCTAAATCAGTTTGAGGCCTTCAAAAGGCAACAGGGACTGGAGAGTACCTTCCCTCTGCAGGTCAATACCAGCCCTTCAATGATGGTTTGAGAAAGTCATGCAAAAATAAGTTATAAAAAGGTTTTTATGTAAATTTAGATTTATAGTCATCAGTTTAATAATCCAGTCTGAGTCCTTCTTTTTACAGGTGGTGGTTTGTAAGTAAGCTAGTCCCCCAAATGGGCGTGGGATTTCAAAATAATTCAGTGACTTATTAAAAGCTGGATGGGAGAAACGAACTGAAAGAGATGAACAGGAGAGAGATTTGAGAGTTTACATCTTGCAAATCACTTCAGATAGTTAAATGGAATTGAATAACTTAATTAACTGATAAAAAGCATTAAATCAAAGTAACTGTAGCTGAGTGCGGAACAAGTTATAATTCATGAACAAGTCATGGTGATTAATTATAATGCCCTTAAAATTTACCAAATTCATTTCTTATGGAACATTTGTTGCTTTTGCTGATATTCATATTCTTTTTCTTAACAATTGTATGTCCGTTTATTTTCTAGTAATTGGGAACTGAAGTGTCGGAATGCTAGCTTTCATTCCCTACTATGGCTTGCAAAATTGTAATGCTATTTAAAAAAAAAAAAAAGTTGAGGTGCCTAAGGAAATACATGTAATTTGCACAAATTTTACACATTGCACTGAAAACAGCCCTGAAGTGCGAAATGTGAAAGACAAAGTGAAAAGAAGAAAAGAAATTATTAATATAAATAACATTTTTGCCTTGATTTTTATACTGTAGTCTGTAGTCCAAGAGCTCATGGCTGGATTCACAGGTGACTATAATGAAAGCTTCAATATTTAACAATCATTTGCTGTAACATTTAGAAATGGAATTACTCAAATAACAAGGTAAACAAAAATATAATAATAAATGGTTCATTAAGTTTTAGTATGAACATGCTAAATTGCAATCTGATAGAACAGCCATTTTTGTTAGCAGCAGTGCCCATGGTACTAGCATGGGGAAACTCCAACTTTTTTTGTCCCTAAGGCTTTATAAAGAAAGCAAAAGTTAAACACAGTAAATCACAAGCAAATTGTTCCCTTTTTTTACCTGAGAAGAATGAGGCATCTATTTTTAAAATGGCTGCAAAAATACATAGTGAACATATGGAACTCAAATTCTTCATATATTTCCCAAAGACAGCTGCAGAAAGCACATCCTAATGATAGTAGCATTATAGAATAGGATTATCCTGAATTTAAGGCAAACCATTACCCAGACTGAAACCCCACCACCGATGTAACTTTCTTACTCAAGGCCGTATTTATATGCACCACGTGCACAAATCTAAACATTTATTTGCACATGCACAGACAAAAGGAAAAGTCCCAGTCAAGACACCTTTGAATAAGATGATTTTTCAAAGCTGCCCTCTGTAAGTTTCTTAAATATTTCTTATATTCAGCACTCAAAATATTTAGTGACTGTAAAACTTGAATCACACAAATTTTGATGCACATGGGATATGCAGCAGGGATCTCGGGTTGTAACAGGCATGTTCAAGAGCCAACAAATTCTGACTGTACTTGGAGGTGCCCACGCCAGCAGTATCCTGATGGTGTCCGTTACAACAGTCTGCTCTGGTCACTGTATTTGTGTAGGAGCCTTGCTTCAGCATTTATGCATGATGAAGGTCAGAGACCTACCTTTAGTATTAGTAAAAGAATTGCAAAGTTAAAAATTTCTCTCAATGAAGCTGTTTCCTTGGGGTTTTTTTTGGTGGTTTGCTTGTTTGTTTTGTTATTTTTTTAATTTACATTATGTTTCTGTAAGGGCCTTCATAAATCCATGCAATATATTCATGCAATCCATGCACCTTTCAAGTCTCTTTCTCATTGGACATTGTCCAGTATATACAAAGACAACCAAAATTTGCCTTTTCTTGACAGTGTAAGTCAATAGTAACTTATTTCAGCAGAATTCCTCTTTTTTTTCAAATGCTGAGGCAGGCATGGGCTTCTGCAGAAACAAGGTTGCTCGTTGGAGGCAATCCTAGTTAATGTGTAGATAAAGATTTAGCTTCAGCCTCTTCTGATTCTTAGAGCTTAAGTTTCAACCTTTAACATTCTCTTCAGATAAAACATTGCATAGCTTGCACAAAAAGAAATGGCAGATAAGAGATCCTCAGTATTTCCTGAGGAAAATGGTGGGGAAGCAGGCTAGAACAGCTGTGGAATAAATATCTAAAGAAAATGTCTGTATCAGACAGAACTTCAGCTTTGGAAATTGGCTGAAATGCAAGCAAATTGAGCAGTAAGCCCACACTGTAAAACCTACTTTATTTATATTTGTATTCTATCAAGTGTGCTTTCCCTTTTTACAGGAGGAAAATGGGATTTTGATAGCAGTTGTCAGGGTGGATGAACATAACTTTGCTTCCTTCACATTATCATAAGGGGATATATGGAATGTTACTTCTTGCAGTAGCACTGGTGAAGTTGTACAGGTGTGACTTACATCAGCTGTTAATGGGCAGTATTGGTGGTGGAGCAAGAATAGGAGTGAGCAGTCGCTCTGAAACTGCTTTTTGAAGGTTAACTCAAGTAAAATCTGATTTCTGCTTCACAAGTCAGCAGCTGCGTTAATAGAGACAGTGCTGTTTTGACAGTAATTTTCCAAGGAGAGCTGCACTCCATGGCCCATATGCTTCCATTCTGTGCAAAAGAACATTAGTTCAAATCCCCTGGTGATCTGACAGGCAACATTTTTTTAATTTATCCCATGTCCCTCCCACTGATCCAATAGATTGAATTAGCCAGGAAGCAAGCTTAGAAAATGAAGTGGAAAACAAAGTATGTTTATCCTTCCTTTTATTTTCCACACTGTATAGTGTGAATATGCTGAATAATAAAGAAGATTTCCTTTTGGAACACAGTCCTGTTTGTGCTAGGTATTAGAGTATTTTGTTAATATATGGTATTTTAGCCAAATGCACCTGAGGGAAATTCCAAATAGCCCATTGAATGGGCTACATGGACTTTTGTCAAATGATAATAAAGCTACTGCTAGTTTATGTCAGCGTCAGTATTAGCACTATTTTGTCATACATTTCTGTTATAACAACAACAACTAAAAAGTTAACCAAAAATAGCAATACTTGCAAATTCCAGTTGCAAGCTTCACTTACTCAAAGAGCTTGGAGGACACACATAGCCATAAACTCAGTAAAGGAGAACAAATGCTATATCAAACAGCATTAATAATTCATTAATAATTATTTCTTTCCCATCTGACATCTTCCTGAAGAAGGTAGCACCTTTTTTTTTTTTTAAACACAGTCTGGAAATTCACATGAGTAACAAGTACTTTTCCACCTTAAAACTGTCAGATGTATTTGAAAATAGATCTTAATTACCATTAGCACTTCCAAGTTTAGTGCTGGCAACAGCCAGCTTGTTAATTCCAGCAGTACAGGAACTGAAGTCATGACCAATTTTTCTTCATGGTCTAATAAACTGGTTGATTAAGTATAAGAAAGTTTGTTGCTGGAAGTGAACCAAATGTTGTTTGTTCACTGGAAAGCAATACTGCATGGCTGGGGCCAGAACTGCTGTGTGCAGGATGGAGCAAAGCGATCAAGAAATAAGGGCAGAAGGGAGGCCCTGGAGACCTCGCCTGTTGTCTTGCCTCTGCCACTAATTCATGATTAATGAGGGGTTTCAGCTCGCTGTGCTGTTCGCCT